CTCTTATGAAGGTTTATACATTAAAGGCAAAAAAAAGGATAACTGGTTTAAAATTTGTTTTCAACAAACAATAATAACAAAATAAATATAAACATTCCTTTGTGCAATTATCAGTAAATCATTTTTTTTTAAGCTTTACAAATTCAAAAAAACCACACAAAAAAACTAAAGTTGCAACTAATGCAATTAAAATTGAACATGTCCATTACCTGGGATTTCTAGCCTTTTCTTCAGGGGCCATGTAGCGACCTCTTGTGGTAACAGCTGCCCCACTTGCCTTTGAAATCTGGAGAAATTTTTTTTTTTTTTGATTGAAAAGAATATTCATTTTGAAATATCCCACACATCTTACAATGAAATTTAGAAAATATAAATAATATTATTATTGCTTATAATATAATATAAATTGAAATGAACAGTTATCTGTCCAAAATCAAAACAGCCCATACCATACCCTAAACTTATCTATTTCATTTCATTAGTTTACATCATGATAGGCATTTCACAAATTTAGTCCAAAAAAATGTATTTAAACAGAAATTAACAAAATAATAAACAAATAAAAATAGTGATAATTATATCTTGTACACACTACAAAAGAATACAGTACATTAAATCCCTTAATAAAAGGTGGATGATCAGATGACTTGAAATAATTATAATCACCTCTTCTTGAGTGGTTCCTCTAGTGAGCGTGTTTCGACATGGTGTTGTGAGATTGTTGATTTCTACTTCAGCCACTACCAAGCTGTTAGGTCCTCCAGACTGTGTTGGATTTCAAAGGATTTTAATGACATAAATAAATTAGAGTCATTAACATTAAGATAAAATTCTTTTAAAATCCAATTTACATACTGAATTTCAGCACATCGATACATATTCTTACAACGACAATCAATCAGGAAAAAGCTTAAAAAATTCAAAACTGTCTTTTGAGTTTTTTTAAACATTCCCAATTTTCCAGGTAACTTTACGTGGATGGGTGATTTTATAGGATTTTAACCTGTTCTTATTGCAACAGATGTGCAAGTATCTTGGCATGCCAAATATTTCTTTCTTTTTTAGCTCCACTTATTTATATTAAGCAATATCAAAGTACAGTTCATATTAACATAATAAATAGGCGGTGGAAAATGTAGCAAGGCCAATAAATGGGTAATCTATAAATTTGCTACTTGCTCCCTCAAAGATGAGAGGCACCATTTTCACATAGCTTGATCATTTTTGTTTCCACCTGAACCTCAAAAGTTTTTTTAATTCTCTGGAAAATGGGACTCAAACCATTTAACTCTCAAACTTGAAGGACACAAGACTGAAAAATCGGTCCTATCTGACAGTTGAAAATAAACTCATAAAATGTATAGATTTTAGATTAAAATTACTCATACCATTTTAACACCATATAGTTTTATAAATTGGTTATTATAATCTAAAAGGAACTTATAAATATCTCATTTAAGGATTTCATATCTCATATTCTGTAGTATATTATAACCAAATTTGTTGATAGAAAATTTAAAACCTATATTTTCTAAAAATTCACTTACCTTCTTTGTGATAACATTTGTAGCTGAGTGAATCTGATTGGGTTTAAGCATCCCTTTAGCAATTAACATTGCATTAACTTTTGCAGCTGCTTCTGCAGCGGCCTCCAAGCTACTTTTATCTTCTTGGTCGTGTAGGCTGAACATTGTCCCATGATTGTACATAGCCGTTAAAATTCTGTTGAACGTTAAAATTATGTTGATTTTAACACACAAAAACAAAAGAAATGTGTTTATTTTTACCATTTAAAAAAACTTAAATTATATTTCTGAATCAAATACAGTGAAATATCGTAATATGTTGTAGGGGGTTCTAACTGTCCACACTACTACAGTATCACTGCATCTTATATTAATTACGAAATTTGGTTTTGAAATTTGACATTATCAGGTCCTAACCCTAGTCATTTTGTTGGTGCCAAGCTGTATCGACCATTAGACACTCCCTTCAATTCACCAACTGCTTTGAGAGTTTCATCTGAGACGACCAGAGCCAGATGTTAACACACACTGATTCTCTTTGATCTTGGTCCCCAATGACCAACTGCAATCTCAAATTGATCGAACAATCCCACAATTCCCAACTACACAAAGACAATGGCTTATTTCAAAATGAAATTATACCTTCTTTAAATTTTGTGGATTTAGCAAAATTAAATAGACCCTACTATTTGCAAATATTTCACTATGTCATCAGCATATCTGTGGCGCTAAAGCCCATGTAGGGGCCTGGCCTACTCCACTACATCCTTCCACCTGGAGTATGTCTTTCTCTACATCGTCAATATTTTCATTATGTAGTTAAGCAAATATTTATATCTAGTATGAACGACATTCAGCCTGATCAATAGCCAATGCTAAGGCAATCTCCAGAGCTTTACATAAAACAAAATATTTCATCAAACTGATCATAAATAATCATTTCAAAGTGCTGCCCCATGAGTTACAATTTTTTTTTTTTATTTAGACCTATTCACTTAAGCAATCACCAATTTATTTGAATGAAAGCCATTTTTAGGTGTCTCTGAAGTAAAAAAGAAACAAAAAACACGTCCAGACCCTTAGAGTGGACTGCGAAGGGTTTAAACGCAGCGTTTTCGGCTGACCCAGGCCATGGGGGAGGTGCTAGAGCTTTCAATAGCACTCTGTAAGGCAATATGAAACACTTGAGTACAGCCTAGGGTTTTTTCAAATGAATCATACAGGTCTACAATTAAAAACCACAAATATAATTATAATGTCCATAACTATTATAATTTTTCATAGCTCAAAAACTACTTAAGCTAGAAAATTGATGTTGTTAGTTTCATTTTTTTAATCTCAGTTTTCTTAACGTAACCCTCTTGAGACAGCCTCTTTTTTGTCTGTGCTTTTTTCACAAGCCCTGCACTTAATTTTTAATACAGCCTAAGTAAGTCCCAACAGACATTTGAATGAGAATCAATGTGAAAAACAGCAGAGAATATCCCTTTGTGCTGGTTATGTCTTTTGGCATATTTGCATGTCACAGATTTTTCAATGCATTAAACTGTGTCACTAGGTAAAAGAAGAAGAAAAAATGATAAAAAAGGATAGAATACTGTAAAATATCAATGGAAGCTGCCATTAAAATGAAAAGATTGGCAAGAAATGCAAAAAGCAATCTGATTAACTGGTACAAAGACCAGTCAGCCAAATGCCAATCTTTTATTATTGGACCGATGGATCTGCCTTTCTTCTTTTTCACAATACAACTCTGGGCCGATCTACCCAGCCGCTACAAGAGGGTTAATACAACTCTTAGGTCAACTTACTCTATACGGGTCTCCTGAGTTTCTGTGGTTGAGTAAGCTCCCCTTTATTTAGTTGCAGAATGGTTACCGAGTTGAATATTATCTTGTTTGTATTAATTAACCCATTGCCAATGGAATGTTTTTAATTGATTGCTTTTTAATTAAGATTTCATAATCTGGTTAATTATAATATTTCAAAATAAGACTGTATTAATCATAATATTTCAAAACTATGCTATTTGCCTGTAAAAATGGATTTTGAATTTTCAACGGAACCTGTAATAAAGTGTGTAAAAGTGAATTTGATGAAACTGTAACTGTAAGTTGGGTTTTCATAAATTTTGAATATTTTAAAATTAATTTTAATATTTTATTGAAATTGACGATTTTCTCATTTCAATGTGTCCCTGTCCCTGTAGCAAATAAATGTGGTTTTAAGGGTCACTTTAGGTCATAGAATGTTAGGTTTTAAGATTTTTTGCTAGAGTTATGGGGGACTACATTTAGGTTTGAAGATTGGGTAAATATACAGTAAACGGATGGGTTTTGCCAAGAGTTTTTTCATCCTAAGTACAGTTACATCAATTTCGGGAATCCCAACACTGGACTTAGACTGACTGGACCTGATCGGACCTGAACGATGAGAATGATACTGATAACTTTCCGTTCTTCACTGAGTGTTATTTGTGTCAAAAACATAATGTCATAAAAATTAATTTTCCATTCGGTTTTATATCAAAATTCAACTTACAAGATTCAAAAGAAATAAAAGGAGAAACTCATCATCGCTGTTAACTCAAGTTGAACACGCGTCAAGCATGTGCGCAGGGTTCCAAGTCCAAGTACTATTTTTTTTAATGGTTGAAAACAAAGTTCCTGTTATGACTGTTACTGTTATTCATTTCTGAGATATATCGCAATTTAACTGGACATTTTAACATAATTTTTGGACATTTAGTTTAGCATTCAGGTTAATAATATCAATAATATTATTTCCCTTATTCTGCATTTGTGACGATAAGTAGCTCAACCACACTCACACTCTCTCCCTTTCCCCTCCCGTCTCCTGCATTTTCGCTCCCCATCTTTTTGCACGGCTTTTTTTTACCAACAGCCCATTTTTTGCCATGACAGGAGACATCATGGCAACAGTCAACAGAGATTGTGACCGTCCATGCAAAGAAAAAAAGTGTGCACAAAACACTTGGAGTTGTTTTAAGAGTTTTATAATTTTTTTGGAATTTTAATATTTGGACTTTTACTTTACTAATATTAAATTATCAATTTGTGACCAAAAATTACCAACTAACAGTGACTAACACACAATAACAAAACTTACGGTACTACAGTGTGAGCGTCACTGACACTACACTGAGGCCGAGTGAGACTGTGACTAAAATCATCAGTTACCAGAAGTCCAGAGTTCAGCGAAGACTAGTTGACTGACGACTCACTCCACTATCACTCTGTGACTGTGTGTTAGGCCGATTCGTCGCTTTGTTTGTAAATATTGGTCTACCTAAATATTATTCTGGGTGTTAATTTTGTTGGGAAAAAAATCTTATCACCTTGACTTCTAAAAACATTTTCTGAAATTACCAATTGCTCTACCGAAATTTCAACGTCGCCATTTTTTCCGGTCATGCCAGCTTTTTTTTTTTTTCTTCTTTTCGTTCACTCAGTACTCAATGTAAGTTGTAAGAATAGGCTAAAGACAGAAAGCCGTAATAAGATTTTGAGCAGCGTCGAATTCGGTCCTCTACGGAACTAATATTGCTACATTGATCTTAAAAAAGTTGTTAAATAAGTTTCTTACAATTATAGTTATGTAATGCATATACACCTGAAAACTAATTTAAATTTCAAGCTAGTATGTATAATAAATTTTTAAAATACACAATTATTGTAATTAAATTCTTAAAAAGTGAAAGAATTGCAAGGCGTCTCGCAATGAAATGTAAATAAATGTAAGGTAAGGTCAGTCACTTACTGACTTAGTAATTAGTACGGTAACTAAAGAAGAAAACCGTTCTTTCCTTTGGCACGGTATGCCTATTAGTATTTTAGCCTATTACTTACTAGTTACTATGATTATTTATTATTAATAAGTCAGTTAATTTCAATTGTATTAAGAGTCATACACTCTTTTTATTAGATGATTTGGAATTCACACAGTTATTTACTCGAACTTTAATTAATAATAATAAGATTTATAATTTTAAGAGACAATATATATAATATAATAAATTATAATAATAAGTAAGGCAAACCTTGCCCAACGTAGCCGCTGTTACTGTAGTGTTAGGTCAGGTATTTCTCAAGGAGTCATACTCATACATACACATCACTGCAGTCTGTAGCAGTGGTGTCACCCGGTGCGGTAAACTCGAGGTGTCACCCTCACCCCTCACCACCACTTTTTTTCTACAATGGATGTCTTCTTGCTGAAATAAGTCGACAGTATAACAATGATGAGAACAAAAACCAATTATAATTAAGGACCCAAATTAATTAAAAGTCAGGAGGCGGCAAATGTCTTTAAGAACTGGAGCCGTAGCAACATTAAGTTATAGCCTAGAGCCTAGTTATTTTTACATTTAATTTACTTTATTTAAAATTTTCATTTCCTGGCCCGCCAAAGCTGCAAAACTGTCAATCAATTTATCAAAATCAATATCCTTCACTGTATCACTTTCAATTGAGAGTAGAGCCAGATCAGAAAACTTGACTGTCCCATGACCATGGTGGATCGTAAATAGTTCTTGATAAGCCTTAGTTTTGGAAAGCTTCACTCATGGATCATAACAACCAATTGAAGGCTTAGCGAGAGTATTGGAAGAGATTCTAGGAAGTCCCATTTAGCTTTGAATTTTAAAACATCAAATATTGACCAGTCCATGACTTTGTGAAATTCAATATCAGCTGCCTTTAGTTGTCTTCTATCTAAGCCTCAGTATTTCTTTTAAAAGTTCATACTCTGATAACTCATCATAGAAAGAGAATAATTTTGGACTCTTCTTCACTTGCTGATAAAAGACCATTGGGTTGTACATTCCCCAAACCTATCTGCTACTTAATTGATCGCTGATGATCTGATCTGGGTTTCAGAATGAAAGCATCTCCCTAATGTCTTCTTCTCGCAGAGAGACTCCAGCATCTATAAATTTTTTCTCCTGTTATGCTCTACTTAAAACTTAATCGTTACCAAAACTCCATATTGGTCTTATTTTAAAAGTGCCTTTTCAATAGCATTTTCCACCAAATGACAGCGCTTCTCGGGCAGAAACAATCTTGAGACCTCTAGGTTGGTCACCACTTTGTCAAGAGTAAATCCTTTAGTCTGCAGATACTGCTGAGTAGGATTACCTTCCTCAAGTAGAATAGCCCAAAGTTAAAGGTACAGAGAAACATGACATCACAGAAAGTATGTAAAAGACCTTGGGCTGTATGACAATCGTGCTTAGATGTTGGGGAAGGGGTGTGCATGTGCTAGTGTCGAATTGGCGAAAATATTAATTTTTGAATATTTCTGGACTTCTATAAAATTGATTTCAAGCCCCCCCCCCCCCCTCCCCCTTTTAAAAAAAAAAATTTGAATTAATTACTAAAAGATATTAGAAAATTTTGTAAAATGTTTTTTTGTTAACCTTCTACTAAATGTCATTTTTTTATATTTTTAATTTTTACAGATTCAATTCATGTACTTAGAATTGCTCGACCACAACATATTTGGTATCAGTGGAAAGCTTTAAAACTCTTCAATCGTCGTTATCATGGTCAAAACTGTGTTTTCTCACCTAATTGTAGGGTCACCTCATTTCTGACGCATGAACCTTGAAGTTTTAATAAAGCATACATTTGGATTGGTTACGTGTGAGGGAAAATTTACATGTGATTGATTATCCATTTATGAAATTCGGTTAGACCGAGCAGTGAGTGCTCTGTAAATATGAAATTTTTCAATTTGGTGTCACCCCCCTAGCTATGCCACTGGTCTGTAGTTTATATAAATTGAAAATGAGGCCTACTACTACAAGCACTACTTTTAGAAAAAAAAATTTTTTTACATTTTTTTCCATCTTGAGTTTTATATTTTGGATATATTTCTTATAATACTAAGACTAGCTGGTCAGTAATCATTGCATAAAACTAAGTGATGATCTAAACTTTTTTATTCATTTAGGATGAAAATTTGACTAATGATATATGATTTACTGTATACTACTTTTTCAGCTTACTTTTCATCATGAACGACCATACTGACATGAAAAGTAAAGATAATGATGTTAAGATAAAGAACAATTTTGAGCAAAGTTTTCAAATCAAATCAAGTGAATCACAACAAATGGCGACTGCACCAAGAAAAGAAGCAATAAATGAAAATATACCCCCAAGTGCCAGTTTGAATAAAAAGAAAACACATAACAAAGCTCACATTTCTGGGTTGGCGAGTATGCCCTCCACATCAGCATTTAGAGCAATCAATTTTGAACTCTATGTGAAACCGGTAAATATTATTAGCTTATTATATGATTATTATTTTAATTTTAAAAACGTCTTACATCAGAAAATATATGCACATAAATTTTATAGATTGAAATGAGACAAAAACGAATAGAAGAAAGTGTCAGCTAAAAGGCTTCTTCAGCAAAGAAGAGGAACAGGCGAAAATAAAACACATTATTAAAAGAAGGAACTAATTTTGCAGTTAATCACTGGCAATTTGTCAGGTGGAAAAAAACTGACAAATTAATGCTATTTGGTTTGGGATAGGAATAACAGACATAAAGACCTTGTAAGTGTAAGAGTTTCAACTGTATAGAAAAGAGCATCTATTTCCTGAAAACCTATCTACCAAAACCCTAGCTTCCGAAACACCCCTGTCTATTTTATTGTTGATGCATTGAACAGACTGGTATAAGTGATTTGAAGATTATATATTAATTAACCTATTAAAATGGCATATATTCTGTAATATGCATTAACATGTTTGCAAAATAAATTACCCCTCACAGAATATACACCTGCAAAGACAGATTTTATTCTAAGCTTAATTAATATATTTTTGAAAGCAACCTCTTTCTTTTTTAAAAATAAATCAGCTAACCCAGAAACACTATGTACAGCTGTTTAATGCCCTGTACAATAATTTGAATAAAGGACAAAATGTATATAACTAGAAGATAAGAAAAATAATATTTTCATGCATTTAATTCTATAAGGCAAGAATATAATGTATTCTATTCACTTAAGTCTATAAGTTAAGAATATAATCTTTCTGTACTTTGACTTCTATAAGTTATAAGTTAAGAATATAATGCATAACACGCACCAAAATTTTTAATGCAACCTTGGGACTCTGCAGTTATCTGCAAAATATTTTATCCAAACAACCCCAGTCTCAATTCAGGAAAACTGTTGCTCTATTGTTTTAATCTATTCTCCCCAACTTCACTTGAGCTTACTGGTCAAAGATAAATTTTTCTTTAAAATTTCTTAATTAAATGAGTATTTTAATTTTGTAAAGCACATTAAACTAATCTCTTCATTAAGTTTAAGTGTCAATAGTGTAATTATTTTTCAAAATATACTTGCAAATACCGGTAGTTACAATGGCTGTAAATAATGCAGGCAGAAGCAAGCATGAGTGGTTATTTTTAGTAAGCGGCTTGAAAAATCTAACTGATAAAGACTTGAAAAAAAATATAACACCAAGTCTCCAAATTCTGCATAATATTAATTCATTATTTTTTATTTCAACGAAGTACTAGGTACTGTACTTCAAATAAAAAATTAAATGCCTAAATCAAGATATGACCACTGAATAACTCCTTGGTCTGTCTATACTGACAATTAAGTATCATTGTGAGCATACTTATTTATATCTTTTTGTTTTTTTTATTTTCACAAACTTTGTTGGAAATGCAATTTTTAATTATCAAGCCACCTATATATTGATACTGAAGTTCTGGGACACAGGGGTTTTGTGTAGATTTCTTAGTTTGATTAAATAAGTTTGCAGAAACTATGGCTAGAAGTAGAATTAGAGTGACAGGGTAGAAATATTTTTTAGAGCAAAATCATAAACATAAAATTGATTTAAACATATTCCTTTTTTTTTTTTAAAGAATAAAAAAAAAAATACTATACCATCTTGGCTACCGGTAATTCGATTAATCGACAGACACCAACAGTAATATAGATTTGTTATTGATATTTTTTAGAGCAAAATCATAAATATAAAATTGATTTAAACATATTCCTTTTTTTTTTTTAAAGAATAAAAAAAAAAATACTATACCATCTTGGCTACCGGTAAGTCGATTAATCGACAGACACCAACAGTAATATAGATTTGTTATTGGAATCTAATAATTGAGTTGTTTTTTAAATACATTACCATATATGGTAAATAATAAGGATATTTCCATTTAGACCACTATCCACAATTGAGTTTACATCCACAAGTATCAATATATGCCATTATCAAAAACTGCTGACAAAAAAGTGTGAAGCAATCATATTTAATATATATAATATAATAAATTATAATATTTAACAAAAATCTACCTGAAATTATTTTTATTGGGTATTTTTCTTGAATGAAATAGCAAAACGAGGTATGTGGAAGCTTAAATTAGAGAACAGGACAAAAAGATTAGGACGTTTAGGCATAAAGCCTTCTTCAGCTCATCCGAAACGTCCTAATCACTTTGTCCTGTTCTCTAATTCAAGTTTCCACATACCTCATTTTGCTATTTTATTCATTTAATAGGCTTGAATGCAGTCCTTTATTTCTTTTTTTTTTCTTCAAATATTAAAATAGTTTATAGTAGAATTTAAAATTATCATCAGCTTTAGGGACACATGAAATGTGGAAAAGCCCACAAGCCTTGCTTGGATCTTAGTCCTAAATCCCAATTAAAAGAGCCCTTAAAGATAAGGTCATTTTAGGCCTCGTTGAAAAGTGAAAATACATTTTATTTTTTTTTAGCTAAATTGTTGAGATGAAAACAAAATTAAAAAAGCTGACCCAGAATAATAGTTTAATTTAACCGAAAAGTTAGGGCGGCTACAACAGAATTTATGCAGTGGAGTGTTGATTATCCAAACTAACTGGGACTAGGTGTTTCGAATACATAATATTTCAGATAACTGAAAGCTCCTACATAAAGGTTGCCTTAAAGATGTTAGTGCATAGTGCATACAATACAAATCTTACCTTAAACTTATGTGGTGCTTTATTGTAGTGTGAATTATAGAATTATGTGCAGTAATCATGGACATATTGGGGGGGGGGGGGTCTGGGAAAAGAGCTCATTTCTAAAAATAGATTATTGGTGCATAGAATAAAATCCCTGGTCACTTTATGGGCATGTATTCTGTGATTTGCATTAAAAAGTTTGCAGGGGGGGGGGGGGGGGGGGTCTGCGAAAAGAGCTCATTTCTAAAAATAGATTATTGGTGCATAGAATAAAATCCCTGGTCACTTTATGGGCATGTATTCTGTGATATGCATTAAAAAGTTTGCAGATCACATTATCCCAGTCTGGTCACTGCAAGAACAGAATATAGTTACGTTGCATACAGTAACAACAATAGTAAAAAAAGACTAGGGTTGTTGGAATAGTCTACATTTCTGATAATGAGCACTCCTAAATTCAAATGTTGACTGTATCAGTATAGCATACTCATCAATTCCTGGTAATACACAGTCATAATTGAACAAAAATTAACCCTTGACTGGATTAATATAGTAAACCCATGAGTTCCTTGTCATACACAAAAGCAACCCTTGAACTTATTTCATAAATAAGGCAGCTAATTTTGGTCACACAATATTGTTTTTCAAAATGTATGTTTGCTTACTTAAATAAGACAAATGTACGGTATTATAATAATGTATACATTTTAGAAAAAAGATATTGAAACTTAGCAATACAGGGCATATCACTATTCAATTTTAAAGAATGTATATAAAGAATACCTAAATATTCCCTTTTATTTTGAAGTCCATTTGTTTGGGATATGGTGGATAATTTAATGAACTGGTTAGTCAATGATGTACCAGGCAATAACAAATAAACCGGGTAATTTATAACCTAATGGGAAATCAGTCAATTAAGTTATTTGTCTTATCTTTCTCTAACTTTTTTAATCTATAAAAAATACATGTTTACCCTTTACCAGATTAATAAGACACGAACAAATTGTGTCAATATAACAATATAAGTTACGCTTTAATAATAATTATACATTATACACAAGTAGTTACACTTTACTATCTCACACACCTTAATAGAAGAGTAGATGAACACTTGACTAGCTTACACACCTTAATAGAAGAGTAGATGACTGCTAATTTCTTATTTTTCTCTTTTTTATTCCTCAGAATAAATTAGTGATGGCCTGTGGTATTTTAGCATTTAGTAGCTGTGTTGCTTATATTGCCTATATGAATTTAACTGATGACCTTAAGAAGGGGACTTATGTCACCTTAGATACAGATGGAGGAACAACTGTTAGACAAAGGACATCTCGATGGGAATGATTCTACTGTTAGACAAAGGACATCTCGATGGGAATGATTCTACTGTTAGACAAAGGACATCTCGATGGGAATGATTCTACTGTTAGACAAAGGACATCTCGATGGGAATGATTCTACTGTTAGTCTAAGGACATCTCGATGGGAATGATTCTACTTTTAGACAAAGGACATCTCGATGGGAATGATTCTACTTTTAGACAAAGGACATCTCGATGGGAATGATTCTACTGTTAGACAAAGGACATCTCGATGTGAATGATTCTACTGTTAGACAAAGGACATCTCGATGGGAATGATTCTACTGTTAGACAAAGGACATTGGCTAGTTGTGTTTTATGTTTTAGTCTAATGGATATAATTTATTTCAATCGTTATTATTTACAAAGATATGTTAGAAACTATTGACTTTAAGCCAACCATGTTGTTGTGTTAGAAGAAACCCTTTTGACTTTGAGCCAACCATGAGGTTGTGTTATAAGAGAACCTTTTGACTTTGAGCCAACCATGTGGTTGTGTTAGAAGAGACACCTTTTGACTTTGAGCCAACCATGTGGTTGTGTTAGAAGTGACCCTTTTGACTTTGAGCCAACTACATGGTTGATTTAGAAGAGACTCTTTTGACTTTGGGCCAACAATGGGGTTATGTAGGAAGAGACTCTTTTGACTTTGAGCCAACCATGTGGTTGTGTTAGAAGAGACCCTTTTGATTTTGAGCCAACAATGGCGTTATGTTAGAAGAAACTCTTTTGACTTTGAGCCAACCATGTGTTTGTGTTAGAAGAGACCCTTTTGACTTTGAGCCAACCACATGGTTGTGTTAGAAGAGACTCTTTTGACTTTGAGCCAACAATGGGGTTATTATAGAAGAGACTCTTTTGACTTTGAGCCAACCATGTGGTTGTGTTAGAAGAGACCCTTTTGACTTTGAGCCAACCATGTGTTTGTGTTAGAAGAGACCCTTTTGACTTTGAGCCAACAACATTGTTGTGTTAGAAGAGACTCTTTTGACTTTGAGCCAACAATGGGGTTATTTTAGAAGAGACTCTTTTGACTTTGAGCCAACCATGTGGTTGTGTTAGAAGAGACCCTTTTGACTTTGAGCCAACAATAGGGTTGTGTTAGAAGAGACTCTTTTGACTTTGAGCCAACAATGGGGTTATGAAAAGCATGAGCAGTTTTCTGCATTTCACAATAAATGAAGAATGTCACTATAATTATAAAATTATCAGTTTGGACACAAGTTATTTTGGTACTAAACCTATATTTTCATATTTTATTCTTACCTAAGTAAAGTACTTATCTTCAAACAATTGTCTTTAAAATTAGCTTTCCGGTATAGGATTAAAACAATCTGTTGCACTAGCTTTTTCATCATGATATAAGAGACTTTATTTAGACCTGATGTGAATGACTCTAGTTGAAAATTCAATTTTTATTAACCTATTTATGTACAATTCAATAATAATTTTTTTTTGTAAGGAATTACATCATAAATTGGGATGGAATAAGTCATAAATAGAATATTTCAAATATTATTGAATGGAATAGCCCAAAGAATGAAAAAATAATTTATAGTTGAAGAAATGTATTGTATTTGTAGTCATGACTAGTAAAAAAATAACTTTTAAAAACTGAGGTTGGAGGTCAAGAATTAATTGATTTTCCAAAAAAACATCCAGGAGAAAACAATGTAGCTATAATGTCACAAATATAAATCTAGAGAAGATTTATGTAGCTATAATGTCAAAAATATAAATCTAGAGAAGATTTATGTAGTTATAAGTTCAAAAATATAAATCTAGAGAAGATTTATGTAGTTATAAGGTCAAAAATATAAATCTAGAGAAGATTTATGTAGTTATAAGGTCAAAAATATAAATCTAGAGAAGATTTATGTAGCTATAATGTCACAAATATAAATCTAGAGAAGATTTATGTAGTTATAAGGTCAAAAATATAAATCTAGAGAAGATTTATGTAGCTATAATGTCACAAATATAAATCTAGAGAAGATGTATGTAGTTATAAGGTCAAAAATATAAATCTAGAGAATACTATGTACCAGTACTTATAATTTCACAAATATGTTTTGAGAAAATAGTTGAGTTCAATCACTAAAAAATAGGACCAACCACAGTATTGACAGGACATTAAAAAGACAGACCCAACCATGGTGTTGACAGGACATTAAAAAGACAGACCCAACCATGGTATTGACATGCAATTAAAAAGACAGACCCAACCATTGTGTTGACAGGACATTAAAAAGACAGACCCAACAATTGTGTTGACAGGACATTGAAAAGACAGACCCAACCATGGTATTGACAGGACATTAAAAAGACAGACCCAACCATTGTGTTGACGGGACATTAAAAAGACAGACCCAACCATGGTACTGACATGCAATTAAAAAGACAGACCCAACCATGGTATTGACAGGACAGTAAAAAGACAGACCCAGCCATTGTGTTGACAGGACATTAAAAAGACAGACCCAACCATGGTATTGACAGGACATTAAAACGACAGACCCAACCATGGTATTAACAGGACATTAAAAAAACAGACCCAACCATTGTGTTGACAGACAGTAAAAAGACAGACCCAACCATGGTACTGACATGCAATTAAAAAGACAGACCCAACCATTGTGTTGACAGGACATTAAAAAGACAGACCCAACCATTGTGTTGACAGGACATATGGTATTGGCAGGTCAGTAAAAAGACAGACCCAATCATGGTATTGACAGAACATTAAAAAGACAGACCCAATCATGGTATTGACAGGACATTAAAAAGACAGACCCAACCATTGTGTTGACAGGACATTAAAAAGACAGACCCAATCATGGTATTGACAGGACATTAAAAAGACAGACTCAATCATGGTATTGACAGGACATTAAAAAGACAGACCCAACCATTGTGTTGACAGGACATTAAAAAGACAGACCCAATCATGGTATTGACAGGACATTAAAAAGACAGACCAACCATGGTATTGACAAGACAGTAAAAAGACACCCAGCCATTGTGTTGACAGGACAGTAAAAAGACGGACCCAATCATGGTACTGACAGGACATTAAAAAGACAGACCAAACCATTGTGTTGACAGGACATTAAAAAGACAGACCCGACCATTGTGTTGACATGACATTAAAACGACAGACCCAACCATGGTATTAACAGGACATTAAAAAAACAGACCCAACCATTGTGTGACAGGACAGTAAAAAGACAGACCCAACCATGGTACTGACATGCAATTAAAAAGACAGACCCAACCATTGTGTTGACAGGACATTAAAAAGACAGACCCAACCATTGTGTTGACAGGACATATGGTATGGGCAGGTCAGTAAAAAGACAGACCCAATCATGGTATTAACAGAACATTAAAAAGACAGACCCAATCATGGTATTGACAGGACATTAAAAAGACAGACCCAACCATTGTGTTGACAGGACATTAAAAAGACAGACCCAACCATGTTATTGACAGGACATTAAAAAGACAGACTCAATCATGGTATTGACAGGAAATTTAAAAGACAGACCCAACCATTGTGTTGACAGGACATTAAAAAGACAGACCCATTCATGGTATTGACAGGACATTAAAAAGACAGACCAACCATGGTATTGACAGGACAGTCAAAAGACAGACCCAGCCATTGTTTTGACAGGACAGTAAAAAGGCAGACCCAATCATGGTACTGACAGGACATTAAAAAGACAGACCAAACCATTGTGTTGACAGGACATTAAAAAGACAGACCCGACCATTGTGTTGACAGGACATTAAAAAAGACAGACCCAACCATTGTGTTGACAGGACATATGGTATTGGCAGGTCAGTAAAAAGACAGACAAAATCATGGTATTGACAGAACATTAAAAAGACAGACCCAATCATGGTATTGACAGGACATTAAAAAGACAGACCCGACCATTGTGTTGACAGGACATTAAAAAGACAGACCCAACCATGGTATTGACAGGACATTAAAAAGACAGACCCAACCATTGTGTTGACAGGACATATGGTATTGGCAGGTCAGTAAAAAGACAGACAAAATCATGGTATTGACAGAACATTAAAAAGACAGACCCAATCATGGTATTGACAGGACATTAAAAAGACAGACCCGACCATTGTGTTGACAGGACATTAAAAAGACAGACCCAACCATGGTATTGACAGGACATTAAAAAGACAGACCCAACCATTGTGTTGACAGGACATTAAAAAGACAGACGCAATCATGGTATTGACAGAACATTAAAAAGACAGACCCTATCATGGTATTGACAGGACATTAAAAAGACAGACCCAACCATTGTGTTGACAGAACATTAAAAAGACAGACCCAACCATTGTGTTGACAGAACATTAAAAAGATAGACCCAATCATGGTATTGACAGGTCATTAAAAAGACAGACCAACCATGGTATTGACAGGACAGTAAAAAGACAGACCCAACCATTGTGTTGACAGGACAGTAAAAAGACAGACCCAATCATGGTACTGACAGGACATTAAAAAGACAGACCCAACCATTGTGTTGACGGGACATTAAAAAAGACAGACCCAACCATTGTGTTGACAAGACAGTAAAAAGACAGACCCAATCATGGTACTGACAGGACATTAAAAAGACAGACCCAACCATTGTGTTGACGGGACATTAAAAAAGACAGACCCAACCATTGTGTTGACAGGACTATAAAAGAGACAGACCCAAAATGACTCTGGGTTCATTTGTTTGTTTGGAATAATATTAAATATTCTTTAACTGTAAAGAAAATGTCAACACACAAGTACAACTTACCATTACAAGACAAGTCAAAGAACAATCCAACACAATGAACACAAAAAAAATGAATGAATCAATGAATTCAACGTATCCAACTTGAGATTACGGAAATTACCCGGTATTCATTTTACACTTTTTTTTTTTTTTTTTTAACGAAAGTCCGTTAATCAAGAGCATAACTTCCGAATTGGAAATAATCGG